CTTTCTAGGGTTTCATCTTTGAATTTTGTCATTTTTTGCCACATTTTGCATTATTTTCTCCAATTCTTTATTAAACATAAAGTTTTACCTACAAAATACAATATAACATAAATTAGGTAGAATTTTATCCAAAAGACAATAAAATATTATGATTTAAAACCATGAATAAGTGTATAAATTACACTTATCACATACTTAAAATGTAACACCCTTTAAGTAAACTTTGAAATAAACTATTTTTTGATTGATTAAAATTAAAAATAGTAAATTATTAATGTCTACTATTATTTTAAAATCAGCGCCTGTTTGGATAAATTTATGAACGGTTTATACATAGTCAAACATACTTTTTAGCCACACATTTTGTGAGATTCACTAGGCGTTAGTCCATATATATTGCAGGCACATTAATTACTTGATTATGCTGCACAAAAGTTCTACTTATTTTTTTTCCTTAATCCTGTTACACGCCAAACATGTCAAACATCTACAAGTGATTGTTGCAAATAAAATCCATGTTTGATGGAGATTAATGTTGACTTTGATTTAAATTAAAATATTAATTTTATCAATACCAACATGGGCAAAATTGGGTTATGACAACAAGTAGGATCAAAACCCATATTGAAATTCGAACTCGAGTTTTATAATTGTCTTTCCATGAATATGCTCACTCTATATAGAGCGCGTTTTCATTATCATATTTTCATGAGAAAACTACGTTAATTAATATTTGAAAAAAAAATTAAAAAAGCTTCATTTTTCAGAAGAGTTTTAAGAGAGTCATATTATATCAACTTTCCTTAAAAACTCTTTTAATTAGAAGAATCACTTTATAAAATCAATCAAATACGTCCAAAAGTAAATTTTAAATTTCAAAAGCTCGTTATAACTTCTCAAAATCATACCAAACAAACCCTAACTAGGTTCTTAACAATGGTGGATTTAGGGAGCCAACCCGCCCAGGCATTTCAATTTTTTTGTAGTTAAAAAAAATATGTGGAATTTTATTTTTTTTACATATTAGTTCGACTTAAAATGTTTTTCAATCATGTCTTAAATCTGCCCATGGTTCTTGAGTTGAATCCAAGCTTCTCAGCTCCTACACGAGCACCCTCCTACACGCAGGGGCGGATGCAGATAATTAAAGTTAAGGAGTACAATCGAACTTGCAAAAAAGTTGGGAGAAATTTTACAATAAAAAATTTACATTCAAAAAAATCATACCCCATGTAATTTTGCATCCGAAAATTTATATGGAATATGACTTTTTTGGATATAAAATTTCGAAAATTTTTAATGTCATATCTCATATAAATTT